TGCATAAAATGTGAAGTATAAGGTGGTCTTACATGCCAGTGAGGAATTGTTAAATGTGGAAGCAATTGGATAACTGATTGTCTTAGTCAGTTTGGGCTGCTATAGCAAATACCATAGATTGGATGGCACAAACAACAAAGTTATTTTCTAACAGTTCTAGAGGTTGGAAAGTCTGAGATCAGGATGTCAGTATGGCCAAGTTTTTGGCGAGGGCCCTCTTCCTGATTAAGTGCTCATATGGTCTTTGCTTTGTATGTACACACAGAGGAAGAGGTTTTCTGTCCTTTTTTTTAATCCTTACCCAAGGATATGTTTATTGATTTTAGAGAGAGGAAGACAGAGAGAGAGAGAAACATCAACGTGAGAAACATCCATCGGTTCCCTCCCGCACATGCCCCAACTGGGGATCAAACCCTTAACCTAGGTATGTTCCCTGACCAGGAATCAAACACACAACCCTTTTAGTGTATGGGTTTGGTTTCTCTTAGCAGTTTCATGGGAACTCTACTCACATGACCTCATATAAACCCAATTACCTCCCAAAGGTTCTTTCTCCAAAGATTATCAAATTGAGGATTAGGGCCTCAACATACGGACTTCGGGGAGAACACAAATATTCAGTCCATAGTATTAACCATCTAAAAAAGAAAAAACTAGATTAATACCTCACATTTTATACCAAAGCAATCCCACATCAATCAAATATTTAAATACAAAAAAATTTAAGCTACAAATTTCTTCCAGTAGAGTTAATGTTTAATCTTAGTGTAGGGGAAGGAGGTCTTTCTAATTACAATTTAAAAATTTTAAAGCCAGTGAAGATTGAAACATTTTACTACAAAGCCAAAATTTGAATTTGGAAAATTTTTTAAAAGACATCATAAACAAAAGATATGATAAAATGGGAGGATTTTTTGGTAAGTAAAAGAAAAACGACTTGATTTTAAAAAAATAGTTGAAAGTATATAGATGGACTGTTCAATGTTGAGAAACGTCCCGCCTGGTTTCAGGAACTGTAGCCTCGCCAATAGGCAAAAGGGCCCCAAGGCTGGAGCTAAGCAAGGAGGCCATGGGAAAACAGGCCACTGAGGAGACAAAAGCTGTCCGCCCTGCCTCCCTCACATCACCCTGCTTGGCCCCGGAAGATAGCTGGTTAGTCAATGACAGGAAAGACCCCAAGATGGCAGGGGCAGCCTAAGATAGACACAGCCACATGAGCATCAGGGAAGAACTTGGGGGACACGGATAAAGGACAAAAGACCCTCATCCCCCGGCTTTGATGTGGCCAGAGTCGTCATTCTATCTGAAAGAAGTCTCCTTATCTCTTGGCAGCTCTGCCTCACCCACCTGGCTCAGGCTTCAAACAATACTAAAGGCAGGTACAGCCCTAAACTGGATCAAGTGGTTCCTGGGGAGAAATCAGGCCTAGAAGTAAGTTCCTTGAAGCATGCTTTGTTCTTCCCTCAAAAGCTGTGATAACCAGCTCACACTGGGAAGGAAATTTACTTTATTCACAGACCCTGACCTGAGGAAAATCTCTTGTGTTCCTTCAGTTATTATCCATGATCTCTGTTTTCTGTAAATATAACCTTTTGACATTGATTGATGAGCTTTGTTGTACACCCCTGCACATATTCTCAATAAAAGCCACTTCAAGAGAAGGACTTGGGGCCTTCTCCACTAGAGGAAAGTGTCACCCCTCTCTTGACAGACAGAGAAGTGTAATACACAGAAACGAACGCAGGGAGTACCTAAAACAAAAATGTATTAATGTTTTTAATTTTGAGCCTATTACTCATAGTATCTGCTTTTTTGCTATCTTTGCATAGCGTAATGTGGAATAGTGTTGTGTTAGGGCCAGTCCAAAGTTTATTTTGCCCAGTTTTAACATTCCAAATGTATGCAATATAGTTCTAGGATACCAGCTCTGACTCCATTTTAAAGTGGCTCCATTTATATCATTTTTTGTAACAGTGTTTAAAAGCCATACAACACTTAATATTGAAGAGGTTGTGGGGAGCCAGTCATACATCATTTATGGGAATGCAATTTTTCACAACATCTTTAGAGGGGAGGGATCCATTTGACACATAGGCATTGATCCAGCTATTGCATGTCTAGGAGTTTATCCTAAGATAGAACTCACACATGTGATACAAGGGCATCCACTCAGCATTGTTTGTAATGTAAAATTCTGGACCTACGTGTCCAACAGTAGTAGCTGATGAATTATGGTACATCCTTATAATGCAATACTATGAAGAATGATGACCTCTTAAGATATAATTTTTTAAGTATATTTTATTATTTATTAGAGTTGCCCCTTCTTCCCAGTATCTCCCTTCCTTCCAGCAATCCTCACCCCCTTAGTTCATGCCCACGGGTGGTGCATATTGGTTCTTTGGCTTCTCCATTTCCTGTATTATTTCTTAATGCCTCCTTGTCTATTTTGTGTCTACCAATATGCATTTTAATCCCTGCACCTTTTTGCCCAATCTCCCCCTTCCCTGGCCCAGCTGATAACCCTCCAAATGATTTCCATAACTATGATTCTCTTCCTGTTCTGCTTGTTTGCTTAGTTTGTTTTTGTTTGTTTTTGTAGACTCAGTTGTTGATAGTTGCGAGTTTGTTGTCATTTTACTGTTCATAGTTTTGATCTTTTTCTTAAATAAATCCCTTCAACATTTCATATAATAAGGGATTGGTGATGATGAATTCCTTTAGCTTTACCTTGTCTGGGAAGCACTTTTTCTGCCCTTCCATTCTAAATGATAGCTTTGCTGGATAGAGTCATCTTCATTGTAGGTCCTTGCTTTTCATCACTTTGAATACTTTTTGCCAGTTCCTTCTTGCCTGCAAAGTGTCTTTTGAGAAATCAGCTGATAGTTTTATGGGTACTCCTTTGTAGGTAACTCTCTTATTTCTCTTGCTGCTTTTAAGATTCTTTCCTCATCTTTAACTTTAGGCATTTTAATTATGATGTGTCTTGGTGTGGTTCTCCTTGGGTCCAACTTGTTTGGAACTCTCTGTGCTCCCTGGACTTGTATGTTTATTTCCTTTGCCTAATTAGGGAAGTTTTCTTTCATTATTTTTTCAAATAAGTTTTCAATTTGATGCTCTTCTTCTTCTCCTTCTGGCACCTCTATGATTTGGATGTTCACATGTCTGGAGATGTCCCAGAGTCTTCTTATACTATCCCTGTTTCTTTTTAATTCTTGTTTATTTATTTTTTGTTCTGGTTGAAATCTTATTTTATCCTCATGTTCCAAATCATTGATTTGAATCCCAGCTTTCTTCCCTTCACTGTTGGTTCCCTATAGATTTTTCTTTATTTCACTTAGTGTCACCTTCATTTCTTCCTTTATGCTGTTGCTGTACTCAATGAGCTCTTTGAGCACCCTGATCACCAGTGTTTTGATGCATCTGATAGGTTGGCTATCTTCATTTCGTTTTTCTCGGGTTTTGTTCTGTTCTTTCATTTGGGCCATATTTCTTTGTCTCCTCAATTTGGCAGCCTCCCTGCGTTCGTTTCTGTGTATTAGGTAGAGCTGCCCTGACTCCCCTGTAAAAGGCACCTGTAAATTGTGTGAGGTGGAGCCTTAGGTAATCGTCAAGGAGGGGCAGCCTGCTTCACCTTTCTGTGGCTCTGTGTTGGGGAAGGGCTTTGAGAGGGTACTGCGGCACTGCCTGGGTCTGGGGATTTACCTGAGACTCGCCCCATTTCCAGTCACTTCACCCACTCTCCATAAGTGATAGGCACCAGACCAGCTGTTGCCTTGGTGTTGAATCCCAGAGTAGGGAGTTTATGTACGTTTTATGACTCTGAGGTCCCTTTAAGCTAAATTTCCTGAAAATCCAGCTGTTTAGGCTGCTGCTCCAACCCTCACTGGTTTTTACAGCCAGAAGTTGAGGATTTATCTTCCTGATGCTGGGACCTTGAGCTGTGTGGTCTGGCCTGAAGCTGGGATTGTTCACTCTCAAGATATCCCTCCCAAATTTTATCCACTGCCTGTACTCATTCCACCAACATTGCTCTATGCCACACGACATCTCATCTCTCTGCCCTCTCCCTGTGTCTCCACCCCTCCTGCCCATCTGGATGAATGTGGCTTCTTTAAATCCTTGGTTGTCATATTTCCATACAATTTGATTTTCTGACAGTTCTGAGAGTGATTTGTTTTGAGATTTAGTTGTATTGCTTTCTTGTGCAAAGAGACAAAGTGTGTCTACCCCCCTTCCCATTTGACCAGGAGTCCTTATATAAGATGTATTATTAACAGAAGAAAATAAGGTGTACAACTATGTATAATCATCTATAATTTGTTTAAAACAGAGACAAAGTCATGTACATATTTGCTTGTGTACAAACAAAATATCTGGGAAGATTCACAAGAAAATGAAAACACTGGTTGCCTCCAGAGAGGGGAACCCAGAGGCTGAGAGAGAAGATAGCAAGTAGACTTCCACTCTATATCCTTTTTTATCTTTGAATTGTGAGCTGTGAGAATGCATTACTTTTCAAAAACAAATACAAACAAATAACTAAAATTTTAATTTAAAATTTAAATTTTAAAAAGACATGAACAGAAATACTTTTTTAAAAATCAATTTAGCCATGGCTGGTGTGGCTCAGTGGATTGAGCACTGGCCTGCAAACCAAAGGGTCACTGGTTCGATTCCCAGTCAAGGCACATGCCTGGGTTGCATGCCAGGTCCCCAGTAGGGAACGAACTAGAGACAACTGCACATTGATGTTTCTCTTCCTCTTTCTTCCCCTTCCCCTCTCTAAAAAATAAATATATAAAATCTTTTTAAAAAACAAAATAAATAAATAATCATTTTTTATTGTACTGGCTTGTACTACCATGGAATTTACCTTTTTGTCATTATAGAGTTCAAGAGTATAAATTCAATTCATAACATTTATTGAGACAGCTGCATTCCACTTCCTTAAACTAACCAGCGCCAATCAAAATCACCAGCAAGAAACTCCAAACCTTATACTTACCTGGCAGGGAAAATACCATAATCATGAAGGCAGTTTTCCCAGAGCGAGGCTTATCCATTGCATTCCGGATGTGCTGGCCCCTGCGATTTCCACAAATGTGGGAAACCTGACTGCATAATTTGTGGTAGCGTGGGACTGCATTTGCTCACTCCCTAGTTAAAAAAAAGAAAGAAAGAAAGAAACTCTAAACTTTGATTTTAAAATTCCACACAAAAGACCTTTAAGAAGAATGCATATAGGATCACTTAAAACACATTAACCAACAGTCTCATCTGTTGGTTGCATTTGTAATCTTTGAAACTATTGCCTTCCACAGCTTTCTACCTCCCCTTTTCCTCCTGTACCAATAATGGGGCCTCTTTACATTCTTGACATGGAATTTCCTTGCTATTAGCAGTTTTATAAAGAACTTAGTCCATTTGGCAGGACCCAGTGCTCCCTGGGTGAGGAAGAGGAACATGAGAGTATAATCATTTTAAGGTAATTGTTAATTTACAAAAGTGAGCCTTGTCTATCAGAGTGTTTACAAGTCTCATCTTTTGTAAATTGTTCTGAAGAGACACACCAGGTTTCCTCTGAGGGATCTTTTTGCACAAGACCAGAACTCAAAATAAAGAGTTTGTCCCAGAAGGATCCAGAGCACAAACTCTCAAGTGATTCCTTGGATGGTGGCAGGATTCTAGGCTGCTTACACTTCAGAAGTGAATCTGCCCTCTCAAAAGAACATAGTCTCTTACTGATTAGGAATTTTTATTGAAATTTGAGAGGTACAGGAGTTCGGTAATTATGGAGATGGAATTAAACAGCAGCTACCTTCCCCTGTCACTGGAGAGAGGTGCTTGTCAGTGACATGAGGGGCTGTCACTCAGGCACTCTGTCCTCCGGTCACCAAACATCCATGTCTTTTTGTCAAAGACTCTGCCATTCTTTTTCCCTCTTTTGTATCTAGATAAAAAGAAAAATAAATATTCACTGAAAGTAGGGGAAAAGAGAGAGTTATTTTTCATTTAATGCCCAATTTTCCTGATAATAATGGGTTCATAAAACTTCAAAAAAAAATAACAACCCATCATTGAATCACTTTTAAATTAAGATTTTTATGCTGGGAAGCAAGAGTACTGAGCAGACAGGCCTGGCAGGTCAGGCCTGGGGTTCTTCTCTGCATGTTTCAAGCCCAAACTTGAAGTGGAGAGACAGCAGTGGAAGCGGCGTCATTGCAGGTTTTGCCAGATGTGAGCAGGCACCTCCACCATCTGGAGCTTGTCACCTATGGCTGTGCTCCAGGGTGGTGCCACATCACCAGTGTGGAACCACATACTTTATCATTCTCATTTTAGTTAGGTTAACACTTTATTGACCATGTGTGTGTTACTCAGGTTGATTACACCTTAAATTGCCCTGCTGGCCACAGCACTGAGGGACTAAGTCACAGTAACCCATGACACCTTGCTAGTTGGATCATGGGGCACAGGAATGCCAAAGCAGCCTAATTTTAATCAGCTGGGCTAATAATGAGGCTGGATGCACACAAGACAGGCCATGGATATTGTCTACTAGGTATTAGAACTAGAAGTTGCTGACTGGTGGCCAGCAGTGGGGACTTTGCTGAAAGAATCACATTAGGAGGAACAGCACAGCCCTGATGGGTCCTGTGCAAGTCGAAGTTGTGAAGGGGCAGAAAATCTAAGTAGCAGCTGTGACAGAGAGAAGACAGAGGGGGTAGTATGAGGAAGCTGGTGCATCACAATGACAGAGGGAACCCTCAGTAGGTAGGCTCCTCCTACTTGCTAGGCCTCCAGACCTGTCTTGATTCCAGAATAATCATCAATCCTGATGGTTCCTGTATCCTTGTGTAGGTGTTTCTCTGAAACAAATCTCTATTTTTATCTTGAGAAATTTTAGTCTCTGTTTTGTATAGCCCTGAATCCTAAGTAATAAAATGTTCTGCTAGTCTTCTTTTCTCTAAACAAATTTATGTACTTTTTCTCATGAAACTAGATCAGGCCAAAATGCCATTTTTTTAACTTGACAATGCATTATGAGGATTCTCCAATATATCACTAACACTTTGTAGAATTTCCTTGCAAGGTACCCAAACTTCTGAATAACTGTCATCACAAATAAAGTCCAATTTGCTGCCATCGTACTAAAAAGATATCATCGACCACAGAAACCCACCACAAAATTGTGCGAAATTCTTTCCAGGTCTGCCTTCTTTGGGGCCCCTCCACCTCCAGCCTTTGGGTACTTGGGTTATTGCCCTTCCGGTAGGTGCCCAGTGAGCTCTAACAACTGTTCTCATTTTCTCAGTCCAAAACCAATTTTTTAATAGCAGAAACATATCAGAACTGTCAAGAAAGAACATAGAACAAGCTCAAAAAAGTACGAAGCAGCATAACTTACAGTTCTATTTGTTCTATGACATTTTAAATATAGCAAATCTGTCATCAAGACAAAAAAAAATGAAACAAAAACTCTGAGCACTCTGGTATAACTCCAGTGAAGATGACCAGGCAACTGAACAATCTCATAGGAATGTCAGAAAAAACAGGCCTTTCAGAAAACATTTAGTCACCTTCTGCCTACAACTTTCAGGCTTTAAACATCTACTCTTGAAGTTCCTCTCTTTCCTTTCTCTTTCTTTCTCTTCCTTCCTTCCTTCCTTCCTTCCTTCCTTCCTTCCTTCCTTCCTTCCTTCCTTCCTTCCTTCCTCCCTCCCTCCCTCCCTCCCTCCCTCCCTTCCTTCCTTTCTTTCTTTGGGATTGCTGGATTGAAAGGCAGACCCATTTTTAATTTTTTGATTTAACTCCATACTGCTTTCCACAGTGGCTGCACCAATCTGCATTCCCACCAACATGCAGAATGGTTCCCCTTTCTCCACATCCTCATCAGTACTTGTTTTCTGATTTATTGATGATAGCTATTCTGATAGTTGTGAGATGGTATCTCATTGCACTTGTAATTTGCATTTCTCTGATGAGTAGTGACATTGAGTGTCTTTTCATATGTGTATTGGCCATCTGTATGTCCTCTTTGGAGAAGTGTCTCTTCAGGTCCTTTGCCCATTTTTTAATTTTTTTTTCATGTTGAGTTTTGTAATTACTTTATAAATTTTGGATATTAACCCCTTGTCATGTGTATTGGCAAATATGTTCTCCCATTCTGTGGGTTGTCCTTTTATTTTGTCGATGATTTCCTTTTTCTGTGCAAAAACTTTTTAGTTTGATGTAGTCCCATTTATTTATTTTTTTTCTTTTGTTTCCCTCTCATGGCAGATATATCCAATTAATTATTACTACAAGCATTGTCCAAGATTTTACTGCCTATGTTTTCTTCTAGGATTTTTATTGTTTCAGATCTAACATTTAAGTCTTTGATCCATTTTGAATTTATTCTTCTCTGTGGTGTAATAAAGTGGTCTAGTTTCAATTTTCTGTACATATCTGTCCAATTTTCCCAACACTATTTATTGAATAAACTATCTTTAGTTCATTATATGTGCTCGCTTTGTCTGTCAAATATTAATTGACTATAAAGTTGTGGCTTTATTTCTGGGCTCTCTATTTTGTTCCTTTGATCTATGTGTCTGTTTTTATGCCAGTACCATGTTGTTTTGATTACTATGACCTTATAATATAGTTTGATATTAAGTAGTGTGGTGTTCCTCGAAATCTGTTCTTCTTTCTGAGGATGGCTATAGCTATGTGGGCCTTTTGTGGTTCCACATAAATTTTTGATATATTTGTTTTAGTTCTGTGAAATACGTCATTGTAACCTTGGTAGGGATTGTGTTGAATCTACAGATTGCTTTGGGTTGTAGGGACATTTTAATGACATTAATTCTTCCTATCCATGAACATGTATATGCTTCCACTTATTTGTATCTTCTTCAATTTTTTTCTTCAGTGTCTTATAATTGTCTGAGTACAGGTCTCAACAGCAGGTGCAGCCAGGAGACACAGTGTCTCTGCAGCTTTGGACCTAAAGACCCTAATGCAGGGAGTCCTAGGACCTTTCACATCTTGTGGAAGCATCGTCTGTCCCTCAATCCCTCCTTGGCTTGTTCCTTGCACAAGCTGCATGGTGGCCATTGCTGACCTCGGCCATCCTGATCTCTATGCTATAGGGATGTGATGAACACTGCTCCATCACTGTTTTAGAGGGCCTTTCTAGGAGCTCTAACGGTTGAACACCAAACAGGGAGTTTCTAAGACATGTCCATTGTACTTGACCTCTAGCTGCTCACTCTTGGTTGCCAGGAGCCTCCTTCATTTGCTTTGTCTAAGAACACACACAGCCTCTGAATATAACTTTTCAATCATTCCTGCCTCATGGTTTGGTTGTGAGGCTATGTTATGGGGAAATTTCTGTGCCCTGATGCTGTCACCACCGGGCATGCACTTTACTCTGGTTCTCAACTGATGTTTGTTCCTGTCCCTCCCCCTTCATATTTTCTCCTGGGTCATCTAGAAGATTGGAGAAAATAAATAAATCAGAAGGCTATAATGCTGGTATTATTCCAAGGCTATGTGTCTTAGATGACTGGCAGGAAAAAATGTTTTAACTGCTGCTCACTCCTCACAGTGTCTGCACCTGGAGTTACCTGATGGTCACACAGGTTATACAGTTGTCAAAACTTACCAGGCTGAACGCTAACACCTATGCATTTTGTCATGTGTTCATTATGTCTTAAATTTAAAAAAAAAATTAAACCAGATCTGTGGCCATGTCATGTGTGTGAGCCCCATAGGGCCATGAAAGCACCAGCTGCTTTGTGGGGAGGAGGCCAGAGCCTCAGCCTGAGGGAGGCCCTGGCCTCTTAGCACTCATGTCTGGCAAAGCCAGTGTGAGACAAAGAGACGATCCTTCCCTGCTGCTGGGATAATCAATAGTGTAAGCTGGACCTTTGAGCACACACCGAGATAGGGAGGAGCCAGATGCAAAGCACAGACTATGGCACTGAAACAGATTAATAAGGAATTTAGTGATTTGGCCCATGACCTTCCAGCACAGTGTTCTATAGGCCCAGTTGGGTATGATATGTTTCATTGGCAAGCCAGGTCTGGCACCTAATGACAGCCAATATCAAGGGTGTATTCTTTTTCACAATTAATTTTCCCACTGACTCCCCCATTAAAACTACTTAAGATTGCATT